ACTGCCTCTAAAAGGGGAGGAGAAAACAGGAGCATTGAGTTCTCTGAACCTTGAGTCTCAGTTTTATCAAAAAGCCATAAAAATACCTGGAAGGTCTAGAGCCAGGAGGCACGCCCTTGAAGTCTTGGGAAAGCCTTCTCTCCACCCTGCTCTACCTCTTCGGCTCTCACCAGGCCAAAAGTTCATGCTTAGTGGGATCTGTTGCCTGTGGAGCACTGGCACCGATAACCTAAGGCCCCATGGTTGACTGGCACTGGCTTGAGAGAGCAGCTGTGGAGGGTTGACTGGCTTGGAATGATGGGTCAGGCTGACCAGAGAGGTGAACGTTTCTGACCCCACGGAAGCCTCTAGCTAGAGCTGGACTCCAGGCTGTGGATGTGTCTCGGCTCATAGACGGCTCTCTTAGTGTGCATGGAGCCCCGAGTGCAATCTCTACTACCATATAAACTGGGTGTGGGGATGTAGTAATCCTAGCACTCAGGAGAAGTTCAACGTCATCCTTTGCTACATAGTGAATTCAAAGACAGTTTGTTCCTAAAAGTGTGGTCACAAAGATCCCAGAGCCTGGAGGTGAGGAACAGTCGGTTCCATACTTGAGCCTGAATATATGACACCGGTCATTAGCCTGAAGGATGGCACGGATTTGGAGGTTCAGTGGGCTATCCCAATCTCCTGATGCTCATAGTTGCGGGTTCAGTGGGCTATCCCAATCTTCTGATGCTTGTAGTTGCAGATTCAGTGGGCTATCTCAATCTCCCGATGCTTGTAGTTGCGGGTTCAGTGGGCTATCCCAATCTCCCGACGCTCATAGTTGCTGTATGTGGCATGTGCTGGCGTCCACATCCTCAGAGAAGTCCGAGGCACAGGGAAGTTGGATGGTTACGTGGAGATCAGTCAGTTTTGTCACAGACAGAAGCAAGAACGTAACCAATGCCTAACTTTTCTTCTGTCCCAGCAGGGGACCATTCTGAGGACACCTGCACTTGAAGAGGTGCCCCAAGTTGAGCCCTGAAGGTGTCACATAGAAGGAAGAACATCACATCCCAGGCAGGCACTGGGAGCTGGATGTGATGGGGAGACCCGTGTCCCATTCACTCTGCTGGTTTTTCCACAGTGAGATAATCCCACCAATACAGACACTAACCTAGACCAGGCCTTGCGGACTGGGAGAACTGTACTTCCTTCTACTCCTAGCTTTATTTCAAGGATGACCCAATGAAAGGAAGACAGGCACTTTCCAAACATCCTGTGTCAAGGGCTCTGAGTTAGGAAGAAATCTGGCTGGCCAGGTGTAGCCTGTCAGACATGTCAGAACTGCCTTCTGTTTAGGATTGCACTTGAGAAACTGGGTATACTCAGAAAGAGGGGACAGTGATGACAGTGGTGTGTTGAGGGCCCTACTGGTGGACATACTTGCCAAAGGTTAGCTGTTAACATAGAGGTCACTAAGATGAAGTGAAACAAATAAATGAAGTACAAGCTTCTTTTATTAACATTTATTGTGTGTATTAAATGTACAAAATAATGGGTTTCATCGTAATGTTTTAACACACGCATTTAGCACACATTGACACAATTTTATTTTTATGTGAGTTTTAGCACATCCCACTCCGGCTTTAAATGTCTTTTTTTTTTTAAATTTATTTATTTATTAAAGATTTCTGTCTCTTCCCCGCCACTGCCTCCCATATCCCTCCCCCTCCCCCAATCAGGTCCCCCTCTCTCGTCAGCCCAAAGAGCAATCAGGGTTCCCTGCCCTGTGGGAAGTCCAAGGAACCCCCACCTCCATCCAGGTCTAGTAAGGTGACCTCATTCTGGTTACTGTACCACTAACTAGAGAAATTTCTGATAAGGAAGATTTTTTAAAGGCTCTTCTGCCATCTGCTGGACAAACCTTGAATAGTGAGAAATTTGTTAAGGAATTAAGAAAGACTTTTCCTGGCCTACGTATTCTCTCTCTCTCTCTCTCTCTCTCTCTCTCTCTCTCTCTTTTTAATTAAGATTTGTGTGTGTGTGTGTGTGTGTGTGTGTTCTAACTTTTGTTGTTCTTTCAGTTTGATTGTTTTTGGTCTGTGAGTGCGTGCACACAGGCCAGGGGTTGACATTGGGTGTTTTCCTCTATCTTCCATGTATCTTTTGAGATTGGGTCTCTTGCTGAAACTGGTGCTCATTGGTTTGGCTATCTTGGGTAGCCAGTAAGTCCCAGAGATTTTCCTGTTTCCACTAGCAATGCTTGGATTATAGGCGTGTGCCACTGCACCTGTTTGGTTTTTGTTTTATTTATTTATTAATTATTATTATTATTATCATTATTATTATTATTATTATTTAATGTGGATGTTGAGAACCCAGGATCAGGTCCTCATACTTGCAACTGATGATCAGTTGAGTCACCAACTGAACCATCTCCCAGTTCCTGCTCTTCCGAGTTTTCAGGATACACTTTTAAACTCTGTTTGAGGGTTTGAGGGGCTAGAGAGATGGCTCAGAGGTTAAGGGCACTTGCTGCTTAACTTCAGAAAGAGCCCAGTACATTAGCACTTTAGCACCAAAAGCCCTTGTGGCTGTGCTCCGCCCACCCCCATGGTCAAACCGCACAACTCCAGTTGCCTTGACATGATGGTGCCTCCTAGAGGTGTGCCGAGAGAATCCTAGGTGGCTGATTTTCCTGTTGCCTTGGCTGTACAGGATGTACTTGTTATAGAGGACCCAGGTTTGAGTTTCATTACTCACATGGCAGATAGTTCACAAACATCTGAAGTTTCATATATTGGGGATCCAGAATAGCCTCCTCTTCTGGCCTCTGCTGGCACCAGGCATGCACGTGATACACAGACATGCATGGAACAAAACTCCCATCCACATTAAAAAAAAAATTCTTTTAAAAATAACAACTCAGTTTGAGAAACAGATGAGCTGTTATGTTTTGCAACCCCGTAATTATGTTATTACTAATGATCTTTATCCTTTAATGCTCAATTGAAGCAGAGCTGACGGGACATTTTGACAGCCTCGGTTTATGCAACTCACACGGCAAGCATCTCTGCTTCGTTTTAGTGTTGGCTGCAGGGGAGCAAACACTGTCTGTTGAGGAAGAAGTTCTCCTCACAATGATACAAAGCCTATGTTGGTCCCAGATGTGATGCTCCAAGTACTGACCCCCAATAACAAGGGCCAGTGCAGAGCAAGGCCACAGTTTCTGTGTGGTCTGTCCCTGTCTCTGGACTTGCTGTTAGAAAACAAAGACAAAGGCATCTACGGTGCTGGTCTCCCCACGGTCGCCCCCATCTCCCCATCTCTTTCTCTTTAGTCTTTTACCATCTGATAGAACTATCGACTGTATTTTGTTTGCTTAAATACATGTACGTGTGTATGTATATATTTAGAAACAGGGGTCTTGCTGTGTTGCCCAGGCTGGTCTCCAATTCCTGGTCACAAAATAATCTCTGCATCAGCCTTAGGAGGAGTAGCTGGGCCCACAGGCATGTACGCTCGTTTATTAGAAAGATTTGCCTATTTTTGTTGTTTGTTTCCTTCCATTATGATATAAGCTCCCCAAGGCTCTGTCCTTGATTTCTTTTCTTTTCTTTTTTTTTTGGTTTTTCGAGACAGGGTTTCTCTGTGGTTTTGGAGCCTGTCCTGATTTCTATGGGACCCTCAGTGACTAGAACAATGCCTGCCATCAGCTAGTATCAAAAAGTATGTGTGGGGTCAGTGAGTGAGAAGGCTCAGGGGATAGAGAGCTTACCACCAAGCCTGGTGATCTGAGGTTGATCTCGAAAAAACAAATGGGGGTAGGAGAGAAGTGACTCCTGCAGGGTGGCCTCTCTGACCTCCACATGTGTGCTGTGGCATCTATTTCTACAAGCAAATGTAGAAAAGTAAAATATGTACATTTTAGATCCATTTATCTTATTTTATGTGAGTGTTCTGCTTACATGTATGCATGTGTGCCATGTGCAAGCCTGCTGCCCTAGGAAGTCAGAAGAGGGCATTGGATCCCCTGGAAATCAGAGTTACAGATGGTGGTGAGCGCCTACGTATGTGGTTGCTGGGAATTGAACCCAGGTCTTCTTAACTGCTGAGTTATCTCTCCAGTCCCTACGGGAAAAACAAATTAAACAGTTCTTTTAAAGAGTGACATCGTGGTCTTTTTACCTTACACGGTCATAGTACCAGGGTCTGACGAACTTGACATTTCTGTCTCAGTTGTCTGAGGACTTTCTGCAGAGACTTAAAGGCTGCTGTGTACGTGTTAGCAATAAGAGAAAGGCATGTATTGGGTGAGCAGGTCCTGGCTTGGTCCTAGCTGTCTTACCCAGTCACTAAGGGAGCAAATGATTCTAGGAAAGCGTGGGAGAGAAGAGTTCAGAAGCTAGAGAACTGGACGAAAGGAAAACCAAAAGGCTGAGTATAAATGCAGAAGAGTTAGGAAACCCTGCCTGAAGCACACAGACAATGAGTGATTTATGTGTCTGTGTAAAATTCTATAATAGCAGGCTGGCACGTAATAGTAAGTGGTAGCAGTCTAAACCCTAAGTTCAAGACCAGAGTGGTCTACAAGGCGAGTTCCAGGAAACCCAGGGCTACACAGAGAAACCCTGTTTCAAAAAACAAACAAACAAACAAAACATATATAATAGCTGCAACTTAGCATTTCTTACTTTGGTCCCAGTAGTGTATTACTGAAAAACTGCATTACATACGCATGGCTTTGTTTTTATGATGTTTGTTTTACACAAACAATGCAGGCCTCAGTTCTATCTCCGCCCTGATCTCCTAGCACCCCCTCGGAGGTCCACCATAAAGGTGCAGGTAGCTCCACCTCCTTACAGGAATTTCTTCCGTCCGGCCTCTTCCGGTTAGTTTGGGAAGGATCACATTTCACAGGACATAGGAGATTCACTAATGGTTCAGCTCAGCTGCCCCAACTTTTCCAACCCAAAGCTGGTGAACTGGTGCGTTCTCTCTGGAGAATGACCGCCTCTGGGTGCCAAAGGTTTGAGGTTGTAGTCGGAACGCTCCCTCAAGTTTCGCAGCGCAGAGGCCAGGACTACAACTCCCAGAGTTCCGCGCTCCAGGGCGCGCGCGTGCACCGTAGTGGCGGAGGCGGAGGTGCCCACCTCTGTGGGTTCTCAGAGTAGGGCTCTGTTGGCGGCGCGCTTGCGACTTAGTGAGCTCTGGTCCTTCCAACACTTGTCGAGGGGAGGGAGGAGCAAGTACTTAGCGTTCGGCAGCACCTCGACTTCTGTGCAGGCCACTCCTCCAAGAGTTAGGCTGTCGGTGAGCGCAGGCTGTGCCTCGGGTCCCCGTCTTCACGGTCCTTTCCTAGGAACTGACCTGGAGAGGTGTGGAGGAGGAGAGCGCGAGGCCTGCCGGTCATCTACCGGGCCCACTCCGGATTTCCAGGAGGCTCCGGAGAAGCTGTCTTCCTGACGGGTAACGAGCCCAAGGCTGGCTATGAAGAGCGACGCCTCGACTTCTGCAGCCCCCTTGAAAGGGCTTGGGGGCCCTTTGCGGAGCAGCGAGCCTGCGCGTGCCCTTCCGGCTGTGTTACCCGCGGTGCACCTGCTGGAGGAGGCGTCCGACCTGCTGGTGGTGCATCTGGACTTCCCTGCCGCACTAGAGACTTGCGAACGGGCTTGGGAGAGCCTGGCCGAGGAGCCCGCAAGTGACACGTACGTGCTGGGCTGGTTCCTTTCTGATCCTTTTGGGGAGGAACTCGGTCCGCTTTTCTGGCATTGCCAGATTGTACCAACCTTATACCTTGCTTTCACTAAGAGATCCTCTCTGAGAGAGGCTGGTTGCTTATTCTGCTCCCGTGCTACTGAGGAAGAAAGGGTTACTGTACGATGAAGAAGTCAAATCATGCAACGGTTTGGGGAAAGCCGCAGCCAGTTCGTTGCTCACTCTTTCAGTGCAGGACAGGGTGATTGTCTATTAAGTGTACAGTCCTAAGGGGATCAGTAAGCAGGTAGCAGGAGGCCTCCTTTGGGAACCCGTCCCCCATTCACTCCTGGCCTTGTCGGATCGTGGAAAATGGGGGTCAAGGCAGAAGTGTAGTTGGGTCCTGTTGAAAAATTGGATGAATTACTTTTAGAAAACCCTTGCCCCGGGTTGCTCTTCCTGATGCATAGGCCTCCTCTGGCAGCTAGGGGCACCATTTCTCTGTGGAGTGTAAACCTTCCTTAGAGCTGTGTGAGCATACCAGGGAGGGAGTAGGCAGAATGAATAGTCAAAGTTGATGTCAGAGAAGCAAAAACTGGGGAGATCGGCTGTGGATTTTAGGGGGGTGGATGTTGCACAGTTGATACAGATGATTCTAATGGCCAGTTGAGTTCCTATATGAACACCCAGCCAGACCCCTCCCTCCAAGCCCACTTGGCACTAAGCAAACTGTTGATGCCCTCTCCCCTTCAAGGCACACCTCTTGGCTGCATGCTTGCCGGGTGCCATTCCCAGAGGATTTACCTGGCTCATTCTGTTCTGATTCCACCTGAGTGCCAAGATGTATGTTGGGCAATAGCTCATTTGCCTCGGAGAAGTTTCCAGAACTTAACTCCAGGGGGGATGGGCAGCCCAAGAGACCATGGTGAGGCCTGGTCCAATCAATAACAGAAGAGGTAAGGGTGTAACCTCCGAGTTGGAAGCCGGAGACCAGTCCAGTCAGAGTGGAAGAGGGAATGGAGAGAGGGGGTGCCGTGCTCAGCCTGACTCCTGTCTTTCTGTTGACAGTGTTGTGGAGGTGAAATGCTCCCTGTGTGTTGTGGGGATTCAGGCTCTGGCAGAAATGGATCGGTGGAGAGAAGTCCTGTCCTGGGTCCTCCAGTATTACCAGGATCCTCAAAAGCTTCCTCCCAAAGTCCTGGAGCTGTGGTAGGTTCTGGTTGCTGACACCGGGTTAGTGTAAGAACCCAAGTCCTGTCTTGAGCTAGGGTCTCATGGCTCATTTCATTTGTCCTCCTTCTGTATCAGTTCCCTTCAAATTCAGGTCTCCCCACTTGGTTCAGACCTCAGACCATAGCAGCTAAGGATGGGGAAGGCGGCATTTGGGAGTAAAAGAGAAGAAAAAAGAGCGCATGTAGGACAGTAGTGGACAGGGCCAATCAAGCTTCCTGCTCCTTCCTGGGGGTTTCTAATTCTTAACAAAAGTTTTTGGCATGTGTTTTCTGTGTGTGGGTATGTGTATAAGTGGTGTGCGTGTGTGCGTGTGGTGTATGTGCATGTGTGTATGTGGGCGCACATGCATGTGTGCATGGAGATGAGAGAAGGGTACCTGTAGTCATCTCTCATTCTCTGCTGTATTCCTCTGAGGCAGGGGCTCTCCCCGAACCTGAAGCTCACATTCTTTCATGGCTAGGCTCTTAGCTAGCAAGCCCCAGTAGGTCCTCTTATCTCTTCCCTCTCCATGCTAGGATTATAGATGTGGGTGGAGCCACATCCTGCTTATTATGTGGGTGCTAGGCCCCCAACTCTGATCCTCAGGATTACACAGCTAATACTCTTTTTAAAAAATATTTTACAGCTGGGCAGTGGTGGCATATACCTTTAGTTCCAGCACTCGGGAAGCAGAGGCAGGTGGATCTCTGTGAGTTCGAGGCCAGCATGGTCGACAAGAGCTAGTTCCAGGACAGGCTTGATAGCTACAGCAAAACCCTGTCTTGAAAAACTAAAAAAAATTAGTTTTTGTTTTATTTTATTACATGTATGTGTGTTGTACTTGAGTGTATTACATGCATTGTACTACATGTATTGTATAGCTGCACTACATGAGTGCCCGATGCCCATAGATGCCAGAAGAGGGTGCTGGATCCCCTGGAACTGCAGTTACAGACAGTTATGAGCCTCCGTGTAGATCCTGAAACTTGAACCTGGGTCCTCTGGAGGAACAGCCAGTGCTCTTAACTTCTGAGCCATCTCTCAAGCCCTCAATCTCAATTTTTTTCCCTCAAGACAGAGTTTCTCTGTGTTGATGTGAGTAAAGAAATCTCACACTAGCTCTGAATAGGGTATATTAAAGTTTTTCCTTATTAAAAAGGAACTCACAAATCACAGCGAGGAAATAGGAATGGGTCCAACATCCAGGTGTGGCGTGGGGGAGAAAGTGGGATGAGTGGGCCGGAACGCGACTTTTTGGTACCCCAAAGCCATGCCTCAACCTGGTCCAGCCTCTCAAAGGCCATTGGCTGAAGGAGGTTCCCCATCTCTGTGTAGTAAACAGCCTTGGCTGTCCTGGAACTAACTTGTGGGCTAGGCTGGCCTTGAACTCACAGAGATCTGCTGGCCTCTGCCTCACAAATGCTGAGATTCAAGGTGCAAGCCACCATATATATTTTTTTTTTTTTGGAGACAGGGTTTCTCTGTAGCTTTGGAGCCTGTCCTGGAACTAGCTCTGTAGACCAGGATGGTCTTGAACTCATAGAGATCTGCTGGCCTCTGCCTCCTGAGTGCTGGGATTAAAGGCATGTGCCACCACCGCCTGGCTGCAATCTCTAATTCTTAAAAATTTATTATTATTTTTAAAAATTGTGTGTGTGTATGTGTGTGTGTGTATGCGTGTGCGAATGCATGTGAGTGCCAGTACCCTTGGAGGCCAGGAGATGGTATCAGATATTCCAGAACTAGAGTTACGGGTGGTTGTGAGTTCTCCAGTATGGGTGCCATGAATCAGGACTCCAGTCCTCTGCAAGAGCGGTGCATACTTAATCACTATCCCTCTAATTTTCCAATTTTTAATTCTTGCAGTATTTCTGTCCCACAGGGAAGGGCTGGAGGACCTGGGCGGGTAGGGTTGCAGAAGTATGTGGTTCTGGGGGTGAGTCTCCTGTAGAGCACTGATTCTTCTCCTCTGGGGATGCAGCATCCTTCTGTATAGCAAAATGCAAGAGCCTGGAACTGTGTTGACTGTGGTTGATGCCTGGCTCCAAGACCCAGACAACCAGGGCCTTCCTGAGTACGGATCCCTGGCAGAACTCCACGTGCTCCGGGTGCTTCTACCCTTGGGTCGTTGGTCAGAGGCCGAGGAACTGGCACTGGGCTCTGCAGCTTTCGGCGAGGAGCAGCGGGAAGAAGTGCTCCAGGCCATCCGCACAGCAAGGCAACAGTCCACACAGGAGCCCTTGAGTTCTCAGGAGCAACCGAAGCCAAGCCAGGAAGGTAGGACATCAGGGCTCCCTGGTCCCTGCAGAGGGGTTCCGTGGCACCCCTAAGCTTAGGAACTTAAGAGTTTAAGTCACAGGATGGAATACCGCTGCATTGCATTACAGACCAGGCTACACTCTCTGAAGTTGGAACACAAGAAGAGTCTGCATCTGGGGAGTTTGTGCTGGGTCCCCTGACCCTGATTTGTCTTCCAAGTACAGGATTAAAGACCAGTTGTGATAGTGTTCACCTTTAATCCCAGCACGTGGGAGGTAGAGACAGATAGGCAGATCTCTGTGAGTTCAAGGCCAGCCTGGTCTATGGCGTGAGTTCTAGGACAGCCAGGGCTACACAGAGAAACCCTATCTTGGAAAAACAAAACAAATCAAAAACAGAAAAGAAAGAAAGAAAAGTCGCTTTTCTTTGGTGTGTGATTAGTCATTTCCTTGGGTTCCTCTCACTAGGTTTTATTCCTTCCGTCATGCTGACCTGGGAGCTGTTACTCCTTCAGATGCTAGCATGAATACACACAGCTTAACTTGGTAACTTATGAAATAAAAATGACCTCCCTCAGCTTCGGGTCTTTGTGCGCAGCCTCCTGTCTGCCGACACTTAACTAGAGCTTTTGGGTGTTTTGATTTTTCAGCTAAGGTCTGCCTTGTTCTTTAGCATGTGGTTGTGCTACCCCGTGGCTTCTGGTAGCATCCTTCCAAGGCAGTGGAGAGGAGCCAGAAGTCAGGTTTTCTGTTACAGGAACTTAGAGGCGCTTGGCCCCAAATTATCTTTGCTCCTAAGTCTTCCAGTTCCCTTTCCTTCATTCTGTGTGTGAACACGTCCAAGGTTAGAACATTGCCTGTCTCCTGGACCAGTGCCTGCCTTCTTTAATTTTTAAAGACTTATTTTTATTGTTTAAAATTATGTTCATGTAAGCATCTGTGTGTGGATATGTGATGTGAATGCAGCTGCCCATGGAGACTGGAGACATCAGAGCCCCCTGGAGCTGGAGTTACAGGCAGTTGTGAGCTCCACAGTGTGGGTGCCAGGAACTGAGCACGTGTGTGTGTGTGTGTGTGTGTGTGTGTGTGTGTGAACTTTATTATAGGAAAGGTCTATCCCTTTTATTTGGTATGATATCACTGTATTGTGTGGTGGAATAAATAAACTAAATAAAAATTTAGATGTGACAAAGAATGATTATAAATTAACAAAACAAAACAAAAACCAAAACACCAAAATTAACCAAACCAAAAGACTATATATACAGTTCAGTGAACTTGTATACAATTTAAATAGCTGTTCAGAACAGAAGCTGTGGAGTTTCATATTCGATCTTATACGTCCACACTGAATGTATTTTTATGTACTTTGCCACCATCAGAAACAAAATATCCATTTCAGAGTAGAACTAGAAAAACAATTAGCTTTATACCTTCTTTCAGCATCTTCTGTTTTTTACAGCTTAGAGATTGTTAAATTTTCTCCTTTTTAAAATGTATGCGAAAGCCTGTCAGGAAATTATAATCCTTTCTCCAAAGTACTTTTCCCCATGGACCTGCTGGGATCATAGCCCTTTTCTGCTAGCAGATTGCTGGCTTCAGGAGTGGCCTGTGGCTGCCAGGTCTCCCATCTTTGCCTTAGGTAGGTTTCTGTTGCCGTGGTTCAACACTACGGACCGAGCAATCTGAGGTGGAAAGGGTTTATTTCATCTCGCCCTTCCCCGTCCCCAGTCGGTCATTAAAGGAAGCCAGGGCAGGAGCTGAGGACAGGAACCTGGAGACTGACATGGAAGTCATAGAGGGACCGCTGCTGACTGGCTTGCTCCTCATGACGTCTTCAGCCTGTTTTCTTACAGGACCCAGGACCACTAGCCCAGGGATGGTCCTGTACCCTGTGGAAAAGGCTCAGCCACATCAAGGCCAGTCTGGTGGGGGCATTGTCTCAGCAGAGGTTCTCTCTTCCCTAGTGATTCTTGTCTGTGTCAAGGTGACGTGAAAATTGACAGCACAGCCGCAACCTTCACGGCCAGTCCGGGGCCTCTGTCAGAACTGTACCTCTTGTCTCTGGCTACCAGTAGTCCTGATTTTATCCTCAATCCCCATCTGGATTCTCTACTGCATAAGTTCAAGCCTTCTCTTCTCTGTGTTGATGTGTCACTGGTACGGCTCTGAGTTATCTTACACGTGTCAATTCATAATACGAAAAATGATGTGAAATAAGGGGGCTTGGTGTTTTCAGACACACACCTAGACAGCTGAGTAGGTCCTGTGTGCACTGACTGTGTCTTCAGACAGCCTGTCCTGAAATGCTCTCTGCACAGCTGTGGGTGTAGCTCAGCCTGCACAGCTGTGGGTGTAGCTCAGCCTGCACAGCTGTGGGTGTAGCTGAGCCTGCACAGCTGTGGGTGTAGCTCAGCCTGCACAGCTGTGGGTGTAGCTCAGCCTGCACAGCTGTGGGTGTAGCTGAGCCTGCACAGCTGTGGGTGTAGCTGAGCCTGCACAGCTGTGGGTGTAGCTCAGCCTGCACAGCTGTGGGTGTAGCTCAGCCTGCACATCTGTGGGTGTAGAGTGCAACCTGCACATCTGTGGGTGTAGCTCAGCCTGCACAGCACAGCTCTGGGTGTAGCTCAGCCTGCACAGCTGTGGGTGTAACTCAGCAGTAGAATACTTGCCAAGTGTCCGCAAGGTCATGGATCCGTCCCCAGCACTGCAAAAACCAAACGGAACCTCCGAACAAACAATGTTATTTTTAGAGCTCTCAGCGTTTTCTTTTGAACTGTTTCTTGGGCTGTGCAAGGAAATCATTCTCATTCTATTTTGATTGACTCTTCAGATCTAGCTCGAGGCTCAGCCAGGGAAACTGATTCGCCTGACTCACCCTGCAATGCTCTGTCCCCTGGTCAGGTTCCTTCTCCTGTAAGTTGATGTCGCTGCTGAGGTTGCTTCACCGGCTCTGGGGCTCTGTGGCGAGCCACCTCCTCTCTCAGCCCTTCAGAAAGAGCCTCCTGGCCGCCTTGATCCTCTGTCTCCTGGTTCTGCGGTTTGACCCAGGTGAGTCAAGGGTGCCTACAGCAGGGCCTGTGAGAGCAGGTGCTGCTGGGAGGGAGCCACCCCCTGCGGCATTGTTCTCTGAGCCTTTTCTGTAATAAGTGAGAGTCAACCTCACCTCTAGGAGAGACCGGGCCTAGAACCTAGGAGAGCAGCTGGAGAACATTTCCCACCCTGCTGATGGAGTCACCTAGGCCTCTGCTCCATCCAGGGACAACCGCTAGTCAGAATGCAAGCTAAGGGAGCCTTCCCCATCCTAGCACCTGAAACAGAGTCTGTTGATCCAAGTGTCTCCTGGCTAGTGTGACCTTGAAAACGTAGATGAAATTCTGATGCACTCTAGGCGAGGTGGGAAAATAGCTGGAAACAGCTTCTTCTGGTTACAGAACGTTCCCTGCTGATGTGTGCTGATCCTCAGGTGGTTTGTCTCTTCGGCTTCACTATGACAGAGATGAGCTTTCCAAGTGAGATTTGGGAACGCACCTGGGGGTTTCCTGAGGAGTACTCACCCAGGTGTGCAGATACTGGGCCACAGTTAGGGGACCACTTTTTGAGAAACACTGTCCTTCACCTTTGAAAAAACAACAAAAAAAAGACAAGGTCTTGCTACATAGTACAGAATGTCCTCAACTTCTTTGTTTCAGCCACCAAAACCCTGGGATTGCGGGTGTGCCTCCCAAGCCCTGGGATTGTGGGTGTGCATCCCAAGCCCTGAGATTGCGGGTGTGCATTCCGAAACCCTGGGATTGTGGGTGTGCACCCCAAACCCTGGGATTGCGGGTGTGCATTCAGAAACCCTGGGATTGCGGGTGTGCATTCAGAAACCCTGGGATTGTGGGTGTGCATCCCAAGCCCTGGGATTGTGGGTGTGCATCCCAAACCCTGAGATTGTGGGTGTGCCTCCCAAGCCCTGGGATTGTGGGTGTGCCTCCCAAGCCCTGGGACTGTGGGTGTGCATCCCAAGCCAGGTTTTCTGCCTTCTCCTTGCTTTGTGAATTGCAACCTAATCTCTGCTTTTCTCAAGAATTTAGATGTAGGGTAGGATTATGCAGCTTTCAAAACCAAGGGGAAATGAAAATCCTTTGTTTTGATCCGTTCACTTTCTTTCATTTTTGGTTGAGAAATCTAATAGCCAGAGAGGCACAGTGACTAGGCTAGAGTCCCGCGGTCCACCTGTTTCTAAAGCTGCTGTCTTTTGACTTTAGGTCCCTGTCTTCCTTACTTCCCCTTTTCCTTAGTCAGTCAGATTTTCTTTGACCCCCTTAGCTGGACTCTGAGCAGGAATGTCCCCTCTGGACAGGTGGAAACTCACCTGCAGCTTCCAGAAACTCTGAAAAAGACAGGCGAGCAGCCACACCTGACGTGGGAAGCACATTCTCATGCTGGAAAAATACGTGTAAAACAGGGAGGTGTAGTCTGTGATTTCCATCTGTCCCTGACTGCCTACTTTGTAGATGTGATAAGAATTTAAAATGCCTTATGACTTCCCTAAACTCTTCTGTGTCATCAACGCTGATCTCCTAAATGGTGGCGCAGAAGCCATTTGAACTTGGGTGTGTCCTGAGCTGCCCAGCTTCCTCAGCTGTGTCCTGGCCCTTAGGAGAGGAGGACCTGGGGTGGGATACAAATAGAATTTGGAGGAAATAGGTCAGTTGCTTTAAAGAAAAATAGCATGTATGGAGGGTTAGGGGTGGTTCTCCCCTGTTTTGGTTTTTCGAGATGGGGTTTCTCTGTGTAGCTTTGGATCCTGTCCTGGAACTCGCTCTGTAGACAAAGCTGGCCTTGAACTCACAGAGATCTGCTTGCCTCTTCCTTCCAAATGCTGGGATTAAAGGCAAACGCCACTGCTGCCTGGTTTAGGGGTAGCTTTTGGTGGTAGATGGCAGATATAGCATCCCTAGCCTTAGAGGAATAAATGCCCCCCCCCATCATGTGTGTGTGCATATGTGCACACAAGCATGGACACTTGAGGTTGACGTTGGTGCTTTCTTCTCTTACCCTCCACGTTATTATTATTATTGCTATGATGATGATGATGACGGCTGGGGTTAAGTCTAGGGCCTTATACTTGGGGGCAGGTGTTCCATCACTGAGCTACAGCCCCAGCCCTTCTGCTTTAGGTTTTGAGAGCGTGTCTTTGCTGAACCTGCAGCCTGCTGTGGGATTACAGGCTTGTGCTGCCACCATGCCTGACTTTCACATGGGTGTTCAGGATTCAAACCCAGGTCTTCACACTTGTTCTACAAGTGCTTTACCCACCGAGCCCTCTCCTTAATTAGCCCTAAACACTGCTGTTCCCCATTTGAGGGGCAGGGCTGTGAGTGTCTCATTGTGTTGCCCAGCCTGGTCTCAACCTCTAGTCCTAGCTGAGGCTCCTGCCTCAGCCATCTAAGGACCTGGGATGGTTTTTCTGTTTAAGAAAGAAGTATGTATTCCTTATTTGGAGGCCAGGGATGGGCTGAGATACCATGCTTGCCTGGTATGTCCTGAGGCCTAGGCTCTGTCCCCAGCACCATGTGAGACCTGGTGTGGTGGCATTTAGAAGATAAAGGCAGAAAGATCAGAGGGCCAGTTATCCTTGCCTGTATAAGTACCAGGCCATCTTGGGCTACATAAGACCTGTCTCAAATAAAACAACCTTCCCAAATCAAACCAAAACAAAGGTAGAAATAGTTATTGTTTGCTTTTTAAATCTGTGATCCAAACAAGGAAAATAAACAAGTGGTGGATTTTTTAAATTTATTTTCAGTGTGGTCAGTTTGTGGTGTAATAGGCAATACTGTCATAAGGCTCCAAACTGAAAAGGCATATAAAGGTACAAAATGCAGTGAAAGCCTCCCCAAATGACCCTCCCAAGTGGCAGTCATTGCTATCAGGGTATTTATTTTTTTCATGAAGCAGGGTTGGGGCTTAATAACCATTTTTTTAAGACTTTAAAAATATGTATGAGTCTGCATGTATGTATGTGCATCACATGCATGCCTGGTGCTCTTGGAGGCAAAGGAAGTGCTGGATCCCCTGGACCTGTGTTACAGATGGTTGTGAGCCTCCAGGTGGGTGAGCCCAGGCCTTCACGAGAACAGCAAGTGCTCTTAACCACTGAGCCATCTCTCCAACCCCAATAAAAATATTTTAATATAGGCTTAAGCCTGGGAGTAAAGAGAGACATTCAGAAGGAAGTGAGACACACTTGGAAGCACGGGTGGGGGCTTCTCTGTGCGTATATCAGAAAGACGCAATAAATCTGGATTATTTTCCTAGAATATGCAAGGTTATTGTAATTCTAGTGGAGAAAACCTATCTCAGAGAAAGAGAAAGTCCTTGTTGTTGGGGAGGCTTCGAATTGCAGGAAGCCCAGATGTGTCTCCTAGCCACCATGGTGGGGCTGAGGGACAAGCACTCACGATAGTGTTTCCCTTCCCCACAGCAAGTCCGTCTTCACTGCCCTTCATCTACCAGCTGGCCCAGCTCTTCCGCTGGATCCAGAAGGCCACCCTCTCTCGGCTCTACCCACTTGCCCTCCGTGACTGAGTGGTCCTCCCTGGCTGCCTTGTCTCTTACTGTCCACATCTACAGAAGCAGAAGAGTCGAGTCCAGTGACTGAGCCCCAGATGGCACTGTGGGATTGGGCCCACCTCTTTCTAGAAAGAGTGAGGAGGCAGGTGAGCTGTGGCTTGCTGCCTCTGAGCCCTCCCTTTGGCATCCCACCACGCTGGTCTCAAAGGGAGTGTGGAAATAGTGGCACCTGAGGCCCAGCTACAGAACAGAGGTCTGGTTGCCCGGAACAGTTCTCTTACTTCTTCCTGCAACAGCTCCTCAGAAAGGAGGGGTCCCGGAGCAGGGATCATTCTGTCTTATTGACAGAGGCAGAGGATGACTTTCCAGGTTAGGGTGCTAAGGGAGTTCGGAGTTCACAGGCATCTGGTGGAGAAGCCTCCTGCTTCTGAAAAACTTAGCTCTGAGAATTGCTCACCAGGGCAGTGAAACCAGAGATGTATCTTCTCTCCCATGCTCCTCTCACAGATACCGCCCCCACCTCCCACCCCCACCTCCCCCACTGGTCCTGCAGTTGGGTAAGAGGCTTCTGCTTGAGGCTTTTTGCCCGTCAGGCAGAATGTGGCTTTTGACCCACCTGGGTGACCACTGGGAGCAAAGTGAGCCTGCCCGACCTTATCTCCGGGGAATGTGATCTTTCTTGGTGCCTCATAGTCTTAGCTCAGTTTTCCAGTGTGCCAGGGCCCAAGCCTAGCTCTCTTGGACCCACTGGCTTCCCACTGTACCCCATCACGTTCGGCCTGTCCAGCTCACTTCATCTCATCACTGTTTCCCCTTGGGGCACACGGTGGCAGGTCCCCTCTCTGTGCCCTGTTGTCCTAGCTGTGGTCTGTTGTTTGCGTCATGCCCACGTTTCTTTGCTCGTGTGGCATGAAAAGTAGGCCAGGCTCAGAGCTGAGCGCCGAAAATGGAACTGGGTAATCAGGTGAGCTGGAAGAGCTATGGGGGCCGGGCCAGGGGGCTGGTGGGGGCCGAAGGGACAAACCTCGGGGAGGAGGCATTTCTTTGATGACCACAGAGGTCTCGTGTGTTTCTGTGTGAGTACATGCAGTCATCCACACCGGATCTCTGTCGAGTGGATGATGAGAATGCAGGGAGGGTTGCTAGCTCATTGCTGGTTGATTTTTTTTTTTTTAGGAACCATGAGTCAACAGCTTTTCCTTAGAAGAAGAAACTTCACAGTTAGAATTCATCTGCATCCTGAAGTCTTGGGAACCGTGATAGCCTTTCCCTATCATTTTGTGGATGATTCTTAAGTAGACCCTAGATTGATGGGGAGAGAAAAGGATTCAGAAGAGGTGAAAGCCCTTGACAATGACTCCTCTCTTACTGCTTTTGAGATGTGAGTTTCACTATTATTGCCCAACTTGGCCTAGAACCCCAGGGCTTGAGCGGTGGACTCCACCCACCGTCTTGAATATCTGTGACTCATGAGCCTTATGAGAATGATTTTGAAATGAGAATCTGGACATTCACTGCCCTAGAAAAACCTCCTTAATGGCTTCCATGGCCCACAGGATACAAATCCATATTCTTCTTAATGGAAACTTAGGCCCCATGTTAGCGGATTTGGCGGCACCTCCTTTGCTGTGTTACTCTGATTTCTGGGTATGCTGCATCCTAGCTGCCAGGTCCTCCTCAGGCCTCGTCAGTGTGGCTTTGCTGGTACTGCTGGAGGGTCTTATAGCAGCTCTGCCGCAGGAGACCCTTGGCTTTTCAGGCCTGCTCAGTTCCCAGCCCTGTCTTGTGCCCCTCCTGCCGTGGTGACTTTGATAGTGGTGGGGTTGTTTGCCTCTACCAGTGCTGTGAGCTCTGGAAGCTGCAGAGCAAGGCTCGCATTCCTGCTCCGCTGTGTGGGTGACTGCTAGGCAGAGGTCAGCCGTCTCATCTCACAGGGACTCACACATGACTCAATGGGCATGTCAGAAGCTTTTGGCACTTCTTCTGCCCCGAGGAAGATTTCTTGCGAGTGGTGGCTGAGCTGAGGCCCAGGTGGCATGCACAGTGCTCAGAGGGGTGGACGAGCGGGCGTCTCAAGAGGGCATGTGCACCTGGCACGTGTGCTGTCCTGTGCTGTGAAAGCCTGGGCACACAGGCTTGATTGTGCCCCGCTTGTCCGTCTGCTCTCCCTGGTGTTCCTCGCCGTTCTACTGGGGACCTGTGGGGCTCTGGCTATTGTCCTGATTGCTACAGGGCTGTCTGTATCCAGCCCTAACCAGCTGCCTGTCAGGTGAGGAACTTGCAACCCAAACCACTGCTGTTACTTTGGCCTTTCCAAGGATGTGGGCTGGGCCTCAGCTCTGGGCTTAACGAGGTCAAAGTGAAGGGCGAGCTTTCTTGGTAGACCATTACAGTGGCCATCAGCCAAAGGTGGAGTTTGAGCATGAAATGAAATGTGTGTGGACACATTCTGTAACTGTAAAACGTACACACTAGATTTCAAAGACCAACTACTGAAACAAAAAAGCTAAAATAAAAAATGGAAATACAAAGATTTTTATATTGACTGAATGTTGAAATGATAATATTTTTGATATATTGGTTCAAATAAAATCTGTTGAAACTAATTTTGGCTGTTTCTATGTTTTGTAGTAGGGCTTCTAGAATGTTTAAAATTATGCTGCTTGCATTTGAATAGTGCTATTCAAGACGCCACGCATACTGGCCAGTTTCAGAGGGGGATTGATGTCTGAGAAGAGCAGTGCATGCTGGGATTGGGAGATGTGTCTCAGTTGCAGATGGTATCTTGCAACCACCTTCTTTTTCAGTTAACGAAACTGAGACGCAGAAAGGTGAAACCGTTTGTCCTAAGTCACAGGCTGAATAAGACCCGGGCCTCCTGAGCCTCCTAGAGTTCTTACCCTGCTCCTCCCACCCAGGCTCCTCTGTCACTCCAGCTGGAGTTCATTGTTAATAGGCAGCTGTATCAGAGAGGGAAGACTAGGTAGACTCAGCTCCCAGGTGTGCAGTGTGTGATGTAGAACAGACATTGTGACCGAAGGGGTGCTTGGAACAGCCGGAGCAGGTATCCTGAGCTTATACAGGAGGCTGGGCTGGCATGGGGGGCTGGGATCAGGCAGCGGTGGGCAGGCAGCAGGAGAGCTAACCCCTGCAGAGGGGCATGAAGCTCTGAGAAGACAAGATGCCCGTAATGTCGCCTGCTCTTGGCATGTATATGTACTTACGTGTACATTTTCATGTGCATATGCACATCTGTATATGAAGACATAAATATATTAGGGTTTGCATTTACAAAGCAATGCATAAGTTATAAAAGGGTCATTATGGGAAAGAAAGCCTGTCCCTTCAACGCATCCATTTCTGTGCCTCGTTTTCTGCCCCAGGGCAACTGCTGTTGTCATCATCAGATATGTTCACCCACCCTTCAAGTTTTCCTTCCTCTTACACAATAACTGCACACTACTGCCTTTACACACCCTTACCACTTAAAAAAAAAACCTAACAACTTCATTAATCAAGGGAACTTTGCTCCCTGTCGGTACAGGGAGATCTGTCTCAGTTTTCATAGTTGTATATAACAAGATCACTTTTTCATTTAAAAACAAAAATGGGCTGGGAAGATGGCTTAGTGGTTAAGATCACCCATTATTATTGCAGAGGGCCTTGGTTTACTTCTCAGCATCCACACGGTGGCTCAGCCATCAGCAACTCCAATTGCAGGGAATCTGACATCCTCCTCTGACCTCCTCGGGTACCAGGCACAGAAGGGCACACATACATACCTAAATCTAAGAGGTAAAAACAAAGAGCAAGTGGCTGGAGAGATGGCTCAATCGTTAAGAGCACTGCTCTTCTAGAGGACCTGGGTTCAATTCCCAGCACCCGCATGGTGGCTCACAACTGTAACTCCAGTTCCAGGGATTCTGACACCCTCACACAGACATACATACCAGCAAAATATCAATACACGTGAGATAAAATAAATTATTAAAAAAAAAACCCAGAACCAACCAACTTTTGAGATGTGTCTGGCCGCATTTCTGGATTGGTCTTGAACTTTCTGCTCAAGTGACAGTCCTGCTTCAGCCTCTCCTGAGTGCTGGCACCCAGGCCCCCTTTTCTTATCACATTGCCGGAATCTGCCTCCCTCTGCCTGGTTTAAGATCCACAGAAGATGGTCAGAGCTCTTCAGTGTCGCTTCCCGCAGAGTCGCTGCCAGAGTAGCCCCCGTGGTCACGGCCCCAGCAGAACAGTGTCTGTGTCGGGGTGGAGGGTGGCCTGTGTACTTTCTGTCTAGACTTTCGGGTTTTCCCTAAGCTGGTAGTCTGCCTCCAAAGCTGCCAGAAGAAATGACTGAAAGAGAAGGTTTGGTGTGCACTGCCTGGGAGGAACTGTCAGGGATTTTGGCCTGACTCCTCTCTGCCTGGATATGCTACAGGATTAGTGAACTTCGACCTCTGCCCCCGTTTGGGGGTGTGGCGAGTTTCCCTCTGCCTTAGTTGGGCAAGACACTATGTCCCGGCCCTGGCTGACCTCACTCTGCTCGTTGGCAGTTCGGTGAGAAATGCTTAAGTACAGGCCCCCAGTGCTCTCCCTCTGCATTTTATTTCCCTCCCTTAGTATGTTGAGCTAGAAGTTAGATGCTGTGGGCGCCATGCCCTACTCTGGATTAAGTAGATCAGGTGTTAGCCTCCAGCCTTTTGACAAAGCACATGCTCCCGTCTTTGATGGGCATGGGGCTGGATGCCATTCAGGATCGCACACATGCTCAGCAACACCTCTGCCACCCAGCTGTGCCCGGCCCTGCTTTCCCTGACTTATAAGCATTGCTTCAACCTGTCCACTTACTTAAGGTCACAATTTTCACATTTTCAGGGTCCCAAACAGATTGGGTACGGTACAGTGAGATTCTGAGAGGGTGAAACATGCTTATCACTTATTACAGCGTTGCTGTGACCATTCTCATTATTGTCAAGTGATTAATTTCATACTGTATCCAATTTATAAACTTAAAATTTTCTTTAATCATTGTGTGTGTGCATGCATGCCACAGCACCTGGGTGGAGGTCAGAGGGCATCCTGTGGGAGTTGGTTCTTTCCCTTCACTATGTGGGTGCAAGGAATCAAAAGTCTTCAGGTTGACTGGAATCTTGAGCCATCTTGCTAGCCCCCTGACTTATTTATTTATTTAAATTTTTCTTTTGAGACAGAGTTTTTCTGTGTTTCAGCCCTGGCTGTCCTGGAACTCGCTCTATAGACCAGGCTGGCCTCAAACTCACAGAGATCCACCTGCCTCTGCCTCCCAAGTGCTGGGATTAAAGGTATGTGCCACCACTGCCCACTGCTTGGCATAGCCCCTGATTAAATATGTTTACCCCAGTTTATTGTCTTTATCATATATATGATATACGTATATTATATATATTAGAATTTGCTATTATCCCCAGTCTCAGGCATCCACTAGGGGGAGTCCCTCTCGTCTTCTTAGGTAAGGTTGGGGTGCGTGCGTGCGTGCATGTGTGTGTGTGTGTGTAGCATGATGAGCTACTTAACCAAGCTTGCCTCAAACTGAACTCCCTGTGTGACAGAGGATGACTTTGAAGTCCTCAGTTCCTGTCTCTGCTCCCAGCTGCTGGGATTACAGGCCTGTGTCGCCACGACTGTCAGCTTTTTAAAGGTTTTTTTTTTTTTTTTTTTTTTTTTTTGCTTTCAGTATAAACCATCTAACCTTGGCAGCTTGAGAACCCGTGGAGGAAATAGCAGTTTGCACTTGAGAGGGACTGATCCTCTGTTCCAAGAGAAGGGAAATGAACTTGGGACAGGGCTATATGATGGCATGGCCACACGTGCCCACTCTCAGCACCGGGGCCGGATCTGAATACTAGGGGTTTTGTGGCCCACTTCTAGTTTTTGTTTTTTTGTTTTTGTTTTTGGTTTGTTTTTGGGTTTTCGAGACAGGGTTTCCCAGTAGCTGCGGAGCCCGTCTGAAACTTGCTGTGTAGACCAGGCTGGCCTCGAACTCACTCACAGAGATCCTCCTGCCTCTGTGTGTGCTGGGACTAAAGGCATGTGCTGCCATGGCCAGCCCCACTTCTAGTTTTAAAGCTTCTGACCAAGCTCATGTCTTTGTCCTGTTTTCTAGTAGTCTCTTCAAACTCTTTGGCACCCCTTGTCCCTTTCGTCCTACCTGAGGGGGTGTTCGATCAGATGGAGACTGACAAGCATAAGATGATAGTGGAAGACTTGGTTGGAAACCCAAACACTTTTTGTTAACAAATTTCAGTTTGAAAAAAGAAAAGCCACTTTATCAATAGCATCAGTGTTATTTATATGGAGCTGTTTCTTGGGCAGAAAACTAGCTTGTATGGATAAGCTATGACCAACAGTTCTCGCCCTCGTGGGTGTTAGGTTCTGGAGTAAAGAAGTCATACTCCCCACCCCACCCCCACCTTGGGGATAGGATCCAGGACCCGGAGCATGCTCGCAGTGCTCTCTGCCTGAGCCTCTCCTTTTTCTGCCAGGGTGGCCGTACACCATGCCTTGCTCAGCTCCATGCCATCCCGCCCCTCCTCTGTGGGCCTGTGGGGTGTGGCTTATGTGTAGGGAGGTGAGGTGGGTGCTACAGGGGTGAGGTGAGGGAGTGCTACAGGGGTGAGGTGGGCTGAGTGCTACAGGGGTGAGGTGAGGGAGTGCTACAGGGGTGAGGTGGGCTGAGTGCTACAGGGGTGAGGTGAGGGAGTGCTACAGGGGTGAGGTGGGCTGAGTGCTACAGGGGTGAGGTGAGGGAGTGCTACAGGGGTGAGGTGGGCTGGGTGCTACAGGGGTGAGGTGGGCTGAGTGCTACAGGGGTGAGGTGGGCTGAGTGCTACAGGGGTGAGGTGGGCTGAGTGCTACAGGGGTGAGGTGGGGTGGGTGCTACAGAGGTGAGGTGGGGTGGGTGTCACAGGGGTGAGGTGGGCCGAGTGCTACAGGGCTGAGGTGGAGTGGGTGCTACAGGGGTGAGGTGGGGTGGGTGCTACAGGGCTGAGGTGGGCTGAGTGCTGCAGGGGTGGGGTGGGTAGGTGCTACAGGGGTGAGATGGGCTGAACGCTGCAGGGGTGAGGTGGGTCGTTTTTCTCAACCTTTGCTCTCTCTTAGAGACTAGTTTTATCTCTGATTTCAACCACCACTCCCTTTCACTGGAAGTTCCTAGGTCCGTTCCTGACCTCTCAGGGTTTGCTTGACTCGGTTCCTAGCTACAGAGAGACCCTGGTCCCATGCAGCGCTCACATGTTCCCCATCCCAACTGTTAGCCTTTGCTCTTGCTACTCACTGCCTTAGTCCCAACCATTCATGTCCGACGTTCTCTGATCTTCATTTTTCATTGTTTATCCAACCTGCTAGCCACTCACTCCTCAGGCGTGTTCCTCTTTCTGGGAGGTCAATGCTGTGGCCACTATGGAAATATTTTTCTGTTTTCAGACATGTTCTTGCACTTAATAATAAAGCATCACTCTCTTTCAGTCGAGAAGCATGCTTTGAGGAGGCTGACAGGGTCCCTCCGAGATGGACCTAAGTGCTTTCCATATACTCTTAGATTGTATCCTGCAG